CTTTTGGAAATTGTCACGTGGCATTATCAAAAATCTATGTTGTTACTCCGTTATGCGTAGCGCTACTTCATAACCTTACAAAGTACTCATAAATGTTTAATGATATTGATTTTCACCACTTTTCCTTGAAAAGTAACATATTCCGCATCGTTATTCAAATAATCAATCAAATTCTCTCTGTCTTTTACTCTAGCTACTTTTGTCTATTTTAAGCGTCTAGTGAGAGAATTATGACTAAATCTGCCCAATTTTATACGCCTTTTAACAAGCCTTCAGATATCCGTCACAGACTACAAACAAACTGGTGATGACGGAACATATAGGCAGCTCAAACATGCAACGAAATAGATAAACAAGGACAATAAGACAGACTCTAGCATCGGATAAAGCGAATCGAAAAATTTTCCTCCAATGCTAAAGCATATTCTGGAGTGGAGCCTTTCCTCGACAAGTCAAAAATGGAGTTCCGTAAGTGTTAGGTCACAACCAAGCACAATGGTGACGCCGACGAACTTTCGGAAGAATAGTATTTTCAAAATTTTCGACCGCTCCGTACAAACCATGGTGACAACATCGCCTGTAACTCAGCAGGACTCAGAAATGAACCTGAGCGCTGACTTGGGATATCAGATACTGAAGCATCAAAATAAAAATATTTCCCCGGGCTCGAATGTTGCTCATCCTGCCATACTGAAAGAAGCGGCTTCAGTCTTTGCTAAAACGTTTAGTGTGATATTCTACCATTCGCCAAGCTGAAACATGATACCAGAAAGTTGGAAACTAGCTCACATTGCACCGATTTTCAAAGTAACCCGATGCATAGAACCTTCATGCTATCACTCTGTAGTACCTTTCACAATACCCTAAAAAGTTATGGAGTCTTCGCTATGTAATCGTCTATGCGAACAATTGCCACCATAAGCCTCTTTTCACTTTAACAGCACGGCTTCGGGAAAGGTTACTCTTGTATAACCAACCTGATGACCGCGGTGGACAGATAGACAACCTATCTTTGGTCATATGGAGATGGTTTGTGTTACATTTGTAGGGTCACTGAATATCGAACAGATCACTGATCCCTGTCAAGGTCGTGGATAGTCAACGCGCACAAACCAATCGTACGCCATGGACTGGCCCACGCGGCAGTGGTTATTCTTTCACTTCTGTACTTCCGTAGTTGTACCTTAACTAATATATTCTTGTCATAACGTCCTTTGTGTTGTACAGTCTCCATAGCATCTATTATCCTTTGATGCGTCGATCGTTCAATCCACGCAAGGGCTGGTCGCGAGGTGTGACTTCAGCGTTAATTGGTTCGTCCCCATTCTGGTCTAACTATAGTAGGCCCCCGATCATTTTGACATAGATCGTCAACGTAGATGGTCTTACACTGGTGAGCCCGACGTGACTATCCACGACCTTGACAGGGATCAGTGATCTGTTCGATATTCAGTGACCCTACAATACTCCCCCACCAGATTCAACGGCCGTTTGAGTCGATACCAAACATGTTGGGAGTAGTCGCGCGCCGGAGGTTGCCAGACGATTAATATGAATCCTCCGGGTATTGCCGAACTGGAAAAGAAATGGAAAGGAGGCTGCAGAAACTGATCGGGAAACAACGAGTAATAACACGTAACAAGGACGTTGGTTGAATGTTAAGCGATCAACCATAGAAATAATAGAAAAAGAAACATTTTGGAGTTTTATCAAGTCGCGTTGAAAAATATAGCTCTGACAAGTGGTTGAGTTCCTCAGGTGAGAAAAAGTAAGTTTGTCGCAAGAGTAGTGATGTCACAGTGATAGTACGATAAGTGTATTATCAATCGGTGCCGATGTTTGTACTGCCCTTGGTACAAAGTAGAAAGTCAGTAAGTGTCGCTGACAACCGTTCGTAAGCGTCGATTTCTAGTTATATATATATTCAACAGACTAACTGTAAGTACAGAATTATAACCGTGAAGATAAGTCGTGGTTTCCTTGTGCGAAGCTTCTGATCAACTTGCAGTCAGTTTGGAAAAACTGATAACTGCTGTGAAAATCAATGTGGGTCGAAGAATAGAGAGCGAGAGCGAAAGGTGGCACGATGAAATCTCTAAAAGATGATAATTGGTGAGTGCTGCACACGTGTTTGATGAGTGAACCGAAAAATGTCGAAAAAAACATAAGAAACCAAGAGTGTCACTCTGGACTCATGTCAGTGATATCGGTGAAAAATGCTGTCAGTGTTGGGGTCGAGACGACAATATCGTTGTCAGTTTGCAGGAGATGCGCTCGACTGCGTAAACCGATGATTCGCGTGAATGAGTGTCGTCAAACCACCAATTGAACTGGACAGGCTTTAGACCGTCGAGTAGTTGAACAGCCGATTGATGTACCGAAATCATCTGTTAGATAACAGCCATGCGGAAACAATACTTCATAATATGAAAAAATACGACGTCGAAGTTGAATAACTACAATAGTTCGGAGGTGTTGTAATGTCACATCGAAGTAACATTATTTCGCATACTGACAATTGTACTGAACGTTCGTTTGGGCATTGTTTATGTAGCAATTGGATGTGCAGTATCAAACATGTACGAAGACTATCGTGGGGTTTGTGGAGAATTTCAGAAGACGTTTAGATATTTTCCAAACCCGTATTGCATGTGAATAGGCCGAAGACGGAATTAAAGTGACTTTCGTGCAATAAGGAAATCGAGTCATGATTTACTGTATGAGATAACAGCAAACAAAAAAAAGCGCATAGTAAACATTAATTTAAATGGTAACCACCAATGTAACTAAAGTTTAGGTTTAGATAACGTGATCGTTTCGTAAAAAAGCATATTATCTAGCTCTAAGTGACATCAAGTACGACGAAGTGTCTCATTAAGACATGGACTAAGATTGCTCGTGTACATGAAATACGTTTTTTTGGAGTATGTTGACTTACAAGTCATAAATGTAAGTAGTTTCGACTAACATTTGACGGCAGTGACAGAATGTATGACTACTCTAAGTGAAAGTAGCCGCAAAATGTTAGACATTATAAACATTATACGAAATTAACTAACTCAATTATGAAACTCGCCTGGATTACTCTTGCTCCAAAGTAATTGAAATTTGTGGATTAACTTCGTAGATTAAGGAAACGTTGTAGACTGAATTGGAATAAGTCTAATTTAGGTTGAACACGTAGAATTGCCTGACGAAGTTTAAACAAGATCTAACATTGCAGGAAATTTATAGTTCAAACTCACCGTAAATTTCTAGCATTTGTATCCTTTGATTCGCCATGGAACTCAGCAATTGGAAATTAGGCAGGCAGTGGTCAAGAAAGTAAAATATTCTAGTAGATAGTTTTTGATAGTAGTTAGTTGACAGTGAATAAGCAGAAAGATGAATTTAATAATCGGCAGTTTATCCTGTATTGGTTATACAAGTGGATAAGTTGCAAACAGATATGCGTACGTGTTGCCTTGAGGCCATACTTACGAGTGGTTGATATTTTAACAGACACATTACACAGGAGCATTTACATGCTGCTAATGCTTGTTAAAGAACCACGATAGTCGATTACAGTCGTAGTTGATTGATTAGTTCTATCGATTGAACTAATTATTTCAGTTGAAATACTAATCAACATTGATATGAAGCAACAAATGTTCACAGAAACTGATAAAGATAGCCGAAGTTAAAAATGGAAAATAATAAGTACAAAATGTAAAAAAAAGAACATAATGATAGGTTGCGTTATTCGAAGTCTTGCTCACCAGTGTAAGACCATCTACGTTGACGATCTATGTCAAAATGATCGGGGGCCTACTATAGTTAGACCAGAATGGGGACGAACCAATTAACGCTGAAGTCACACCTCGCGACCAGCCCTTGCGTGGATTGAACGATCGACGCATCAAAGGATAATAGATGCTATGGAGACTGTACAACACAAAGGACGTTATGACAAGAATATATTAGTTAAGGTACAACTACGGAAGTACAGAAGTGAAAGAATAACCACTGCCGCGTGGGCCAGTCCATGGCGTACGATTGGTTTGTGCGCGTTGACTATCCACGACCTTGACAGGGATCAGTGATCTGTTCGATATTCAGTGACCCTACACATACTTTGACTTCTCAAAATCTTTTAATAGGATCAGTCATATATGCCTCATCAGTCAGCTCAATAGATAAAGTATCAAGTTACCGTTAATTGATTGCCTTACTTCACACCTAAATAATCAACTTTTTAAGGTAAGGGTAAACTTCATTCCATCTTAAGCCCCAGAATGTCCTAGTTGGGTCCCTTATGGTTCAGAACTAGAATCTCTTCTTTTCTCAATTTATATAAATGACCTTTATCAGCAAGTACCCTGTGACTCATTACTTTCAGTTGAGGATGTAACACTTTGAAGAGAAGTTGCTACCAAGATGATAAGCTTGCATTTCAAGAGGATCTGACTTGACTTCAAAATTGGGCGGACAATAATGAACTTGTTTTATGACTTAAACGTGTAGAGTAGTCCATCTAGAACATGTTGCAGACTACGCACACAACTTGGGTAACTCCCCTCTAAAGGTACACTAAGTTGAATAAATCTCGGAGTGTAGGTACCCTATGACCAACAGCCTTACGCTCACTGTGGCAAAAATGCTATTTATTCTTTACGAGTAGTTAAATTCTGAAATTCTCTGCCGGTCGAGCTCATCCAAGCGACTTCCCAGGAGTCCTTTTAGAGAAAACTTGACATATTCTTAAGGACTCAGAACAGTATCTCATTATAACTTAATAATGTTTTTTTATTTATAACGATCTACCCAGTGCTAAATTTATTTGAAATTATTAGGTCAAATCTTGGTTATGATGCTTACTTAATGTTTTTTTCTTTTTATCGTTAAACTTGCCTAGGTTCCTACCTAGAAGTATCGGTGATCCACTGCAATTAGGTAAGGAGGCCCGTTAAGCGAAAGCTTCTATTCCGTCCACAACCATTTTAGACAGCTTGAAGCAATTTGGATTGTTGGCGCCATACTGTACTGCTGCGTTACGTGAGTTGCATTTTTCTTATTGTTAGCACAACTAAATCGACTATCCTCTGTTAATATACCTAGTGAAGATGCTGAATGTCTTAATCAATTCGCTTTACATGGTTAGGCAGGATTTTATTCAGATTGACAATTTGAGTTCTGGATTCTGATCAAAAACAAATAACTACTGTCTTAGGTCTGATTAAGAGGCTAAAGGTCAACGATGTGATGTACTTCTGTCGTATATTGTGCAACGATATTGTATTTAACAGATTTAGAAAGTTTCAGGAATATCATGGACTTACAAATATGGTGTTAACCACAAGTTTCACGTAGCACATGATGTTATTATCATGATAAACTTCATCCGGTGAACACCATCTAATTAAATAGAGAGTAACCATAGTTCCGGTTAGGGTGACCGTTGCAGTAGTGGTGTCAGAACAATGGTTCCGCAGTTTAAATAGTGTTTCTTCGAGCTGTTCGAACCATTGCATTTCTTGGAAATGTCATAAAATACCTACAGTTCGACACAAAGTATGTTGTGTTGCCCTTGAGTCTAGTTTTGCAGTAATGTGTATTGCGACGCAAAATTTCACCTTTTGGTTAGCCATAACAGCAACGTCTGGGAATCTGTAGGGTCACGGTTTGAAGATATTCTCTCTGATGGCGACAAATCCAATAAATGTGTTTGTCCTTTTCTAATATGCTTGTGAATATGTCCAGTCTTCAAGACTACAATTTATGGACTAACTAGTCAGATTTAATATGTTAGTAATGCAGAGGTTCGGCATCGTGTGTTCGAGCGCAGAGACGATTATTCAATTAGTGTCACCATCTTGAAACACCGACTTCGGTGGCTTGGACATGTTTTACGAATGTCGTCCCAGAGACTTCCACGTCGTGCATTATTTGCCGACTCTGGGACTGGTTGGAAAAAGCGGAGAGGAGGTCAGTGTATGACATGGTGTCGTGGCATGAAAGAGAGCTGCAAAGGGCTAGCTTCTGTTGGTCCTTCACGACTCCCTGGCTGGGGTCCGAGAGATGATGCAACACAGTGGCTAGAGACGTTATCAGATATGGCTCAGAATAGAAGCCAGTGGCGATCCTGCTGTAACCTTTTACTTTCTTCATAAAGAGTGGTTCTAACTTTCTTAACTGAAAGAGTCTTCTGGTTGTACATTTTAGTCCGCCTTACCTTTTCATCCCTTCTCTTCCTACTTTCATTATTTTGTGTGACGCATATGTATCTGGTGCCCTTTTGTACCAATATGTATGTGTTTAAATAAATAAATAATGTATAATGTTTGAATCTACCTGTAACCCAGGGTCGATTACCAATAGACTGAAAGAATGCTATAGTAAGTCTTATCTTCGAAAGAGGTACGAAAGTTGAACCTGAGAACTATCGACCGGTAAGCCTAACTAGTGTGGTTTTTAAATTTTTATAAAAGATTATTCGGAAGAAGTTGCTTAAGTATTTCAATCAAAACTGGATTCTTTCTGAAAAGCAGCATGATATTAAAACAGATTATTCCTGTCTTACTAACTTATTAGCAGCCCGTGAATGTTGGTGCGCTCTTAAAGACCAAAAGCTACCCATAGATTTAGCTTACATTGACTTCAGCAAAGCTTTTGACAAAGTCCCTTACGGCCGGCTGTTATATAATCTAAGTAGTATCGGGATTAGAGACAATTTATTAGTGTGAATAAAGGACTTCCTAGTTGGGCGTCAACAAAGAGTACGGGTGAACTCAAAGTTATCGAGCTGGGAAACTGTGCTTAGCAGAGTGCCTCAGGGTACAGTTTTGGGGCCAGTGTTGTTCCTCTTGTATGTAAATGACCTGTTATGTCCCGATAAGGATAATGAATGGTAACTTTGGGATCTATTTATGAATCAATACTATGCATATATTTTTTATCGTATAATTGCTAAGTAACTAAACTATTCATATTCATGTTCCCCTCATCATTATCTTCATTTTGTACTATAAACTATTGTTATACGATTTACCGTTCATGAATTACATCCAGTCTATTGATTTCTATTCTCCTTATTCACAGCCACATTTGGCTAAATCTTGTACATGTGTTATTTTCTATTTTATGGTGCAATGTGGTCAGTTTGATTGGTATATAAACTCAGTATCTTCTTAGTCTCCTATCATCATCGGTTTTGTCATATGTTGACGATGTCAAGATATGGAGAGCGATAAAAAGTAAAGATGATAGTTTAGGGCTTCAATATGACCTGGAACAATAATTTGAATGGTCTAGAATTTTGCGGTTTTCGATAAATGTTTACAAGTGCATTATGATGAATATTAGTCACCAAGGTACAGATACATACACGATGAATAACATTGAACTGCCTGTTGTCCAGACACAATGGCTTAAAAGTCATCTTTGATCAAGACTTAAAAACTATTGCACACTGCCGTATGATAGACGCCAAAGGTTTTAGAACCCTACGGTTCTAGAGCCTATAGTCATGTCGATGCTAAAACCTTTTTGACTTTTTATACAGTATCCGTTCGTCCTAAACTCGAGTACTAAATGCAAGCGGCTATCCCCCGCCTAAAACGAGACAGTGAGCTATTGTAAGAAGTTCGAGCGACTGCAACTAAGTTGATTCTCTGAATAACCATGTTCCCGTATGATTCTCGACTGGCTAAACTAGACCTATTTTCATTGTCATATAAAAGAACCAGAGGTGGACTTTTTAATTACTTATTTATAAATTTGCGTCTGATATGTCCTCACTTTTCTTGTCTTCCAAAACAGTGAATTTACGAGGGCACTAAAAGCGTTTACAACGTTGAGGACAAATTACTTGTCAGCTGACTATTAACTTTCCCATTAAATCATCAACGAATAGAATTCGTCTTCCAACAGGTGATTAGAACTCCATCTGTCTATGCTTTCAAAAGAAACTTAGATCGACTGAGAGATCACCATTGCCAGGACTAACAAAGGCCACCTAGTCTCATGTCCTTTCCACACTGAAACTATAATCCTGACGTTGCCCAGTAGTCGTCCATAAATTATAGTCTTACTGTCTAATCTTTTATTGGATTCATCAACTTACGTTTATCGTTCACCTGTTAAAGTCTTATGAATTTAGAACACTCTTCGGACAAACAATTCACTATTAAACGATTAAGCTCATCACTGTTTATTAATTGGCTTAAAAACCCTATTCGATTTTCTTTACAGATGTTCCTACTTTCGGTGATATAATCCGTGTTTGTGGCTACACTACTGTATTATGATTGATGATATTACTAATACGATTCCTCAGTTAACACATGGTCTTCATAAAGGTCAGATGGGAAGAATCGCTATAGTAGGAGGATCAAAAGAGTCAGTTCATGCATGTATTGTTGATAGCTATCAGATATACTGGAGCACCATACTTTTCCGCTATTAGTGCTTTGCATTGTGTAAGTTTTACATACACAAATAATAAAAAATTATAGGGTGCTGATTTAGTTCATGTAGTATGTTCTGCTTCTTCCTCTCCTGTTATCAAGTCATATAGTCCTGAATTGATCGTTCATCCTGTTCTGTAATCCTCTGTATAAACAACCAATATTGCTACCTAATTTCTAGAGATGGAATTCTAGCAGAAGCGACCAAATGTATGGACAGAGTTCATGCAATTACATTTGGACCTGGTCTGGGACTAACGGAGAACGTTGAAAATACCACAAAAGTTCTTTTTATTACCATTCACTTTTTAATAATAATAATACTTTGTAGCTGATAGATTATTGCAGAAAATCTAACAAGCCTATTGTCATTGATGCTGATGCTTTGAATATCGTTACTCAAAATCCATCACTCATAGAAGGTTATGATAAGACTATTCTTACTCCAAACGTTGTTGAGTTTTCAAGGTTATATTATTCTGTGGTAATTATGTCAATAATATACTCAACGCATTTATACAGTTTTCATCTCAACCATATGATACCAAAGATGCGACAAGATCTCTTGCTGAAAAACTTGGTGTCACTATTGTCCATAAAGGTCCTACAGATATTATATCAAATGGTCAAACAAGTAATTTTCCTGATAATTTATTGTTTTTCTACTAAATTATGTTCAATATATTACTGTAAGCCTTATGTAAGTTTTTTGATTTCTATTACTTAGGTCTTTATTGATAATGATACCTCTTTTTATGTGTCACTCGGAAGAAAGCCTCTGTATAGTATTAGCTAAACGCTTCGTGCAGTTGTAATAGTTTTCAAGGACTGACTTATTTATCTTATCACATTTAAACACGCAAAGAGATAATGCAAGAATAAGTTGAATGATTATCATAAAATTTAAATTTCTCATTATTCTTCATGGCTCCTATTATGGATCCTAGTAATGCTGTTAACCACCTTGTATTTGAGGGCGAATAGATTAACATCTCAATCTATGACTGGTTGGGCGAAATTTTCGATTTTTAGAATCAATAGATAGAGTGCTAAGTGATAGATGAAACTCAATGACATAATGTGGCTCACTGATGGCTGCTCACAAGACTGTGTTATTAAATTGAGCCTTTGACCTAGAGATCTGATCCACAAGGCAGTGGGGCATCGTAAGGAGATGTAGCCCCATGGTAACCGGTGACCAATAACTGGTTCATGTGCCATTTGTTCCCTCAGGCTACTAGAGCCCATGTGCACCATTGGTTCAGAATCAGGGTTTTCCAACTCCCCTAGGTGGATTTTTCATTTCCACCAACCCGGTTAAAGCGCCGGACATTCGCTTTTCTTCCTCTCAATTTCGTAAACAACAGTAATGCCATGAGAAGGCAGTGAGTAGGACTTCTCTGGCAGAGGCTTTATACGCGTGGCCGTATGAATGCATTTCGAGAGAGAGCGTACTCTCCCCACTCTCGGCCGTACCAGGGCATTTGGGAGCTTCTTCAAGTCTACTCCTACATTATTATGTACCTAGTTCGGTTTGGGTGGATGAATATGCTAATCCGCTAAACAGAGAACTGGGATCGATTGCATGGCAGATAAACTTGTACTAAGTAGTCTAAAGATCAAGTGTTTTTGTGCACAAACGAAGGTCCTGAGTTCGACTCTCGCATGCGGGGTCGTGGGTGTCCATTTCTGAGGAGCCACACACTGGAACAAAACGGCCACCCAGTGCTTCCATGTTTTTAGTGGTTGTCTAACTTAGATCGGTCCATGATTAAAATGAAATTCAACGATCTTTACAACTCCGTACTGAAAAAGTATAATCTCAATCAAATTTCAACAATCTCCACAACCATATACTGAAAAGTATAATTAATGACAGTTTCCTCTGTAATTGAGTATATTGTCATTGATTTTCGCTTACATAAATCACTCTTATAGACTAAATTTCAGGTCCATATTTTTAGTAATCTGTCGATTGATAAAATGGTATTATTATTTAGAAAGTTAAAATATATCCCTAAAAACAGGAAATGTTGGGCAGCAATATCTATTCCAGAAAATTCCAACTGTGTTACATTTTTTCATAAGCTTTTTATCCACTGAAATCACCAAAAGTTCGGAATATCTATAAGTATCTCATAGTATGTTATGTTAAAATATAGATCAAGGAATTAGTCATATATTACCTATGTTTTGCTCTTTCATATTATATAGCGTATTTGTCTATCCCGAAATGCCTGATTCGTCCCATGTCAGATTGCTAATGCTTCAGCGTTACGATTCTTTTCTTTAGGTTATTATATTGCAACAAAAGTATGGGCAGCAAATGTTTGAGAATTTCTATGTTTAAATAGAATGACCTGCTTGTAAAGAGCTATCCTGTTAATAAATTCACCTACAGACACATGCCTATTAATATTGAACTCACTTAGAAATTTGCTTCCAACCTCTTTAATTTCATCATTACAATTATATTCATCACTCCATCTTGATTTTTGATTATATTTAATAAAAGCTGTACAGTGTGTGGATCAGGGATCACCTCGCAGATGCGGTGGACAGGGCGACATTTTATCTGGTACAATGTCAGTCTTCAACTACTGGTTTCATCAACTTAAAGATAACAACCAGTAAGTTACAATTACTTTTTAGCAGCCAACAAAATATCAACGACATAAAGTACTTTATTATAAATTTTGCTCAATTTACATTCCTCATGTAAATCATGTAAACGGAAACGTCTATGTGTTGCTTTTATGTTCAGTATGGTCGCACAAGCTTATTACCTGCTTGTATTCTAGAATGTAGTAAATATTTATGGTGTGAGGGGTTAATATTTCTACCCATTTGTACAAAACGAATATGAAGTTGACCTTAAGCCTCCATTTAAAGGCAAATAGCTAAACCATTTAACTACGTTAATATGGTAGGTATGTCAGTGTGTGTTAAAAAAATAAACAGAATAATTAGGAATTTAATTGAATGTTTTGACGATTCAAATTTATGCATTTCTCAGTAGTATGAAAACCTAATTTAGTCGAAAAAGTTCAATAAAAAGAATCTAGTTGACTAAGACTATATCAACATGGAATCTTTAATTATTAATGTGAGGATGGTCCACAGGTTGGCTTTTTCGAGATGTATCCACGAGCAAATGAAATGGAAGTCGGCTTTGTGGCAACAATATTCTGCCGTCCCTTCGAATTTGATTGATGTGTCTTATACAAATTCCCTTGTTCCATTCGAGTCCTTGTTCCATTCGAGCAGTGGGGTTAGGCAGGGTTGCCCGATCTCCCCATTCCTCTTCAACTTTGCCATCGACGACATCCTAGAAACAGCTCTGATGGATGTAAGTAATGGCGGTGTGGATATGTTGCCTGGAGAACGACTTCTCGACCTCGAGTATGCGGATGATATTGTCTTACTGTGCGATAATGCCCAAGGCATGCAATCAGCACTTAATCAGTTGGCAATCAGTGTCCGCAGGTACGGCATGTGCTTTGCACCCTCCAAGTGCAAAGTACTTCTACAAGACTGGCAGGATTCTAATCCTGTACTCACCCTGGATGGTGAGGAGATCGAAGTAGTTGAGAAGTTCGTGTATCTAGGTAGCTATATAAGTGCTGGTGGTGGCGTGAGTGATGAGATTGATGCACGTTTAATGAAAGCCAGAGCGGCTTATGCCAATCTGGGCCATCTTTGGCGCCTTCGTGATGTTAGTCTGGCTGTAAAAGGTCGGATCTACAACGCGTCGGTGAGAGCAGTTTTGCTCTATGCTTGTGAAACCTGGCCTCTCCGAGTTGAGGATGTTAGACGTCTCTCTGTGTTCGATCATCGTTGTCTCCGAAGGATTGCTGACATCCAGTGGCAACACCATGTTAGTAATGCAGAGGTTCGGCATCGTGTGTTCGGGCGCAGAGACGATAATTCAATTGGTGTCACCATCTTGAAACACCGACTTCGGTGGCTCGGACATGTTTTACGAATGTCGTCCCAGAGACTTCCGCGTCGTGCATTATTTGCCGACCCTGGGACTGGTTGGAGAAAGCGGAGAGGAGGTCAGTGTATGACATGGTGTCGTGGCATGAAAGAGAGCTGCAAAGGGCTAGCTTCCGTTGGTCCTTCACGACTCCCTGGTTGGGGTCCGAGAGATAGTGCAACACAGTGGCTAGAGACGTTATCGGATATGGCTCAGAATAGAAGCCAGTGGCGATCCTGCTGCAACCTTCTTTTACTTTCTACATAAAGAATGGTTCTAACTTTCCTAACTGAAAGAATCTTCTGGTTGTACATTTCAGCCCGCCTTATCTTTTCATCCTTTATCTACCTACTTTCATTATTTTGTGTGGCGCATATGTACCTGGTGCCCTTTTGTACCAATATATATGTGTTTAAATAAATAAATAAATACAAGTTCCGACATTTCTTCGAATTAGATACATTACACTTCCGATTCGGCGTTCTATAATACCTGGTTCCCACCTTCTTTCACCTTGATACGATTTAACGAGTACCCTTTCACCTACCGTGAAGCTACAAGTGACCATATGATTTTCATTCGTGGGTTTACTTGTCTTTCTAGGTGGCAACATACTGCTAAAGACTGTTCGGATTTTCCTTCCGAACATACACTCGGCTGGTGACTTACCTTCGGGTACTGCTGGATAGGGGGTAACTCTGTAAGACATAAGGAACTTGCTGATTACTTGTTCTGGGATGGCCTCTTCTCCCCCTTTGACTAGAGCTTGTTTTATAGTATCCACGAATCTTTCTGCTTGGCTATTCGACTGAGGATGGTACGGGTGAGACTGTAGATGTGATATGCCATTTTCAATGCAAAACCGTTTAAAGACAGATGACATGAACTGGGTGCCGTTGTCAGTCACTAAGATCTCAGGAACTCCAAAACAAGCGAACAAACCTGACAATTTTCTTATAGTACTCTCTGACGTCATTTTCGGCATGTCGTATACTTCTGGCCATTTCGTGAAGGCGTCGGCAACAACCAAGTAATTTCTGCTTTGTATTGGGCTGGCAAAATCAGCGTGTATTCTTTGCCAGGGACCGTCTGGTTTTGGCCATGGTTGCGGTTCAGCTTTATTTGGGTTCTTTGCGGCCTCTGAACAGGACGAACAACTGTGGCACTTTTGCTCTATATCATGGTCCATTGATGGCCAGTATGCGTAGCTTCGAGCTAACGACTTCATTTTGCTTATCCCCGGGTGTCCGCTGTGGAACTGCTTAAGGACTTGGTTTCGAAGATTTCTGGGGATAACGATACGGTGGCCAAACATGATGCAGTAATCTACAACTGTCAATGAATCTCGTCGACGGAAAAATTGCAAGAGTTCTCCATGTAGTCTAGACGAAGGCCACTTGTTGAGTATGCAGCGGCTAACAAACTTCAACATGTCTTTCTCACTAGCTCGTTTAATAGCTTCGAATGTGACTGGAAGTCCGGACACTGCGTCTGCTAATACTGTGTGAACCTCGGCCTCAACATCTACGGCAGCCACAAGCACCTCCTCTTCTTGTTTTGTACGGGAACTAATTAGTCTTGAAAGGGCATCTGCCTGTCCAAAATCCGTTGTTGTTTGGTACTTTATCTTGAAATCATCGCCCAGCAGTGTAGTTGTCCATCTCTGTAGACGGTTTGCTGTATATACAGGTATACCTTTTTTCGATCCAAAAATTGTCAGCAGCGGTTTATGGTCTGTTAGTAAGGTAAATTGTCTGCCAAGTAGCATCTTGTGGAACTTCTTTACTGCGAATATAATAGAGAGGTCCTCTTTTTCTATCTGACTATAGTTTCTTTCTGTTACAGTCAGTGACCGTGCAGTGTGGGCGATTGCCTTCTCAGACCCGTCTGGGTAGGTATGTGAGATCACTGCGCCGATTCCGTAGTTGGACGCATCTGCTGCGACCATAATACGAAGATCTGGATCATAGTGTGTGAGTAGAAGGTTTGATGACAGGAGATGTTTTAGTTTTACGAAAGCTTCTTGGCATTCAGATGACCAGAACCATTTAGTATCTTTTATCAGCAACCCATTAAGAGGAGCACGAAGACGATGCAGTTCTGGAAGAAAAACTCCATAATGACTAACCGTTCCCAAGAAAGAGCGTAAAGTTGGCACATCAGTTGGTGGAGGCATGTACTTGATAGCCTCGATGTTTTCAGGATCAGGTTTTCTTCCGTTTTTATCAATTATGAATCCCAAATAGCGGACATGTTCCATGTAGAAGTCACATTTTTCAGCACGTAATGCGATCCCAAAATCTGCTATGCGTCTGAGAACCATATCTACCTTCTTCTCCAGGTCAGCATAGTCTGTACCCATGATTAGTATGTCGTCAAGATAGGCCGCAGTACCAGGAATATCTTGTAGCATAGTATCCATAACTTGTTGAAAGATTGAAGGGTCAGTCTTTACTCCAAACGGAAGTCTATTATATCGAAACAACCCTTTATGAGTGTTTATTGTCAAGTAATGTTTGCACTCTTCCGCTACTGGAATCTGTAAATATGCTTCTGATAGGTCTAGTTTTGTAAAATACTTATCCCCGTTAAGTTTCGCAAATAAGTCTTCTGATAATGGTAAGGGGTACTGATGAGCTTCAAGTGCGTCATTTAATCCAGTGGAATAGTCTGCACATAATCGAATACTTTCATTGGGCTTTTTAACAATTACTACGTCTTGTAAATTGAACACTATATTCAGATCCTAAGCTATTCTGATAACCCCAGGCTAGAATTACTCAGCGACTTGAACACCAGGGAGAAGACGTATCAGTGGCGACGGGAAAATGACAATGAGTATTTCTTTAGAGCAATTTGAATCTTATATGGAGCGTCAAGAAAAACGGTTTGAACAGTCTCAAATCAGAGTCATGGAAACCCTGATGCAGAAATTCTGCCTGTCCGAGAGAAACCCTGCTTCTAGTGAATCACAAATATCACATACTGATTCAGTCATTAATGGCATACATGAATTTAATTTTGACGGTGTAGCAGGTATAACTTTTGAGTCGTGGTTTAAGAAGTACGAAGATTTGTTCTATATTGATCTTTGCAACCTGGATGACGCTTCGAAAGTCAGAATACTTCTTAGAAAACTTGGGACTGTGGAACAGCAACTTCATTCTTCCGAAGAACCCACGAGATTTTAGTTTTGATGAAACAGTCAAAACCCTGTCCCAAATCTTCGGAGAACAATCATCTCTATTTATTATCCGTTATCAGTGCTTAAAGTTAACGAAAGAACCTGGAGATGACTGGGTGAAACATGCAGGAACTGTGAACCGTGAATGTGAGAGGTTCAAATTGTCGTTCATGTCTGAGGTCCAGTTTAAATGCTTAGTATTTATCTGCAGCCTGTGTTCACCTGATGATGCTGATATCCGGACCAGAATCCTAAGTAAACTTGAACACTGCCCTAACATGACCCTACAGGAGGTGACTACTGAATGCCAGCGCCTGGTGAACTTGAAACATGACACCTCGATGGTAGAAAATAATGGTCGACTTCCTTGTGTACAGGCAGTAAGTGGGAAGAAAGATTCCTATATGCAAAAGCAGAACACAACCATTAGGAAGCCTCCATCCGCATGTTGGCTTTGCGGAGAGCTGCATTACAAAAGGTTCTGTCCATACAAAAACTACCGGTGCACCAAATGTCAGCTTAAAGGACATAAAGAAACATGTTGTAAAAAGAAGATGCGACGTCGTTCATCAAGTGTTCGTTACCGAGGACATAAAAACTGTTCATCAACTAATAGAATAATGGTGGCACATACCAGAACACAACATAATTGAAGGAAATATGTGACTTTAGAAATTAATGGACGCCGTGCCCGTCTGCAGCTTGATACTGCCTCAGATATTTCACTTATCAGCCGGAAAACTTGGAGTCATATTGGCAAACCCTTGGTGCTCCCTACAACTCAATTAGCACACAGTGCGTCTGGAGGAAAGTTAAATATTGTTGGAGAGATATGCTGTCCAGTTAAAAAAGGTACTGTACAGAAGAATGTGAAAGTATATCTCACTGAAAGCCCAGGAATAGATTTGCTTGGTCTTGACCTAATAGAAATGTTGCAGTTGGCTAACCAGCCAATTAATCATATATGTAGTCCGGTGAGATCTGAGGCACTTTCAAGGCTGATTGGTTCCCAGGCAAAACATGGAGAAGACGTACTGATTGCCGCAGGAGAAGGTAAAGCAGAAGTTCAGGCAAAGAACCCAGGGATATTTGACAAAAAATCGCCACCCAAGAAAAGAAGAAAACCTGTACAAGAGTATCAGACGAATGGCCAAGCAGAAAGATTCGTGGATACTATAAAACAAGCTCTAGTCAAAGGGGGAGAAGAGGCCATCCCAGAACAAGTAATCAGCAAGTTCCTTATGTCTTACAGAGTTACCCCCTATCCAGCAGTACCCGAAGGTAAGTCACCAGCCGAGTGTATGTTCGGAAGGAAAATCCGAACAGTCTTTAGCAGTATGTTGCCACCTAGAAAGACAAGTAAACCCACGAATGAAAATCATATGGTCACTTGTAGCTTCACGGTAGGTGAAAGGGTACTCGTTAAATCGTATCAAGGTGAAAGAAGGTGGGAACCAGGTATTATAGAACGCCGAATCGGAAGTGTAATGTATCTAATTCGAAGAAATGTCGGAACTTGTATAAGACACATCAATCAAATTCGAAGGGACGGCAGAATATTGTTGCCACAAAGCCGACTTCCATTTCATTTGCTCGTGGATACATCTCCATAAAGCACTCAGGCGCGCGAAGGTAGAAAAGATAAAATACGCAAGGGCAAAGCGACACAACCTTCAAGAGTAATGAGTCGCAAGAGAATCGCGGTAACTCAATAAAGTGTTTTCTCTCATACTTGGGTGTTCTCCCTGGTGTTCAAGTCGCCGAGTAGTTCTAGCCCGGGGTTATCAGAATAGCTTAGGATCTGAATATAGCGTTCAACCTTCAAGACATAACAATTAAGTATTCAGTAGATGATATATATACACTGTTGTGACTGTCGCCGAGGCATTTCATTCAAAGTAATAAACGTTTCGTGAACAACAATTGCAAATCCGACGACAACGTTTTGGGGAGAAATTTTGAAAAGTGTTGCTGTTTGTTTCTAATATTATAGTAAAATGCTTCAAATCCCCTGTTCATCTATCGATCTCATGGATGTCTCATTTGTTTTCATCTTGGAAACCTGAGATCAATGTCTAACCTCTCCAGAGTTAATGTTTTACGGAGCTCTAAAACCAAAACAGTAACAATCAACCATATTCATAATTATAGTCATGTGTGTGCATATGCTAAATGAAAGTAAAATATTGTCTTACCATGTCCTAGCGGGTCGCAACCCAAAAGCAACTAAGTATTATTAGTGGTATATCTGAATCCATAATTTAGTGATCTCCAATATATGTATCCCTGAAAAATTCCGGATGCATCCCAAGAATTATCATATTTATACAACGCAGAATCAAAAATTAAAGTACGAAATGTTATTAGGATACATATTTCATACATTAATATCCTCAGAAAAACTGTAAATGCAAAATAACAAAGTTTGGTTTTAAGTAAAATCGGAGTATGAGTTCTCAACTGAGCTTATATAGTTCAAATCAACAAGGAGATAAACGATTAGCAGACAAAGCATACTAAAAAGTACATTTACATGTCACAAATTGTTATGAGAACTATAGATCTATTGATAGGATAACAATGACATGTTAGTCATGTATTGTCTGTCCAAATAAATGTAAATCCACGTAAGTGCAAAAGAATGTCAGTCCTATAATCAACTGAATGACCCTGTGAACCGAACTCTATACACAAGAGAGAATGGCTTGGTTTTTCCTTCATGAATTCTTATCTATTCCAAGTTCAAATGTAAGAACAATATTAAGTATTCTAAGGAATTCACTTATCTAGAAATGTCGATAGCCGACATAATTATAGTCTTAACAAGGTTTCTTTCTTCGGGTTTCGTATACCTACTACGTTTGTTGCATGAATTTTTAGTGGATTAATTCCTCTGTATCTGACTCCAATAAATAAATAATATTCCGTTAACTGAATAATTAATGCAGGCTAAATTTCTTGTAAAATTATGGGTTTGCTCGAGATTATTCAAAAGCCTGAACACCAGTTATAGAGATAGTTTATTGTTGAAGTTGGATAAAATCCGCAAGCGTACAGATAGCAAGCACACAGGGAAAACAAGTGTGTCAATGAGTGTTAATGGGTTGTGGATAAATTATTGATTGTCTTTGTTTACAACCAATGTGAGAACAGATTAAAGATTGATGTGCAGGCACATGCGCTCAATCAGACTCACACATAAATTTACAAAGTGGATTGAATGTCTAAATTACAGAGAACACACTAATACAATAGTTGAATGGGCTTACTACAAATTAGGCATCGGAGTATTTATTGAAGGCTGAGTCTTGTCCGATGGAGTTTGTTTGATACTATTCTCTTGTCGGTAGCATATGACCACTCGATTTACGAAACATCAGTATTCCAGATTTTAGTCACTCCAACCTTCTTTACTAAATAAAGTAAGATTGGAATGGACAAGTTATTGGGACGGTCAAACAAAAACATTCACGGTACTTCAAAATTGTGGTATATGAGAATTCCGTGATCAGTGGTTAAAATCTTGAGCTGGGTAGCATAAGAGTAGTCTTATTATCACACACAAATCTGTTCATTAAGATTTTAAGCATCGTATTAATCTTCACTTCTTATTTCATGTAATTATTTCTCTCTGTTTCTCCAATACTATTGGAACGATTGTTCTCATTTTTCATTTCTTCTTTTTTCCTAGTGTGCTAATTTTTAGCACAATAAATTGAACTTGCATACACATAAGGTGAATTCTACATTATTTCTGCCACCTAGATTTACTTTGTCCTATATATAAGTAATAGGGTCTAGTTAATACTATTTCTTTCTATGTTGTTGCGAATTGGGCCTATTAGCATTTGTACTAGATGCTACATTGTCGATGATTATATACGCATAACTTTTGTTTCTTTTCCCATCATTAAAATTTTCTAGGAATCTGTTTACAGCTACTATTGGAGCTGCATTTGCAGCTTGTTCTCTTACACGAAAATGTTCACAATTGGCATACGCTAAATACGGTCGTTCTATGATAACTACGCAAATGTTGCCAGAAATACATCATGCATTCGAACAACTATTCACTAAAACGTCAATTACATAAAATATCACGCTTTTCTGTATTCTAAACAAACCCAATTGAGTTGTTTTCATCAAATATGTATTAAATTTGTGCTGTAATTGATTAACATTAGGTATTTTCGACTGCATTCAAGTTTCATACTCTGTAATCAACTCTATCAAGTATTCTAACCAGTTTTTATTAAACCCATATATGAAAAGAAGTCCTTCCTGTAACTTTATTCTCAAAGCTATACAATTGCAAATACATACCATTTTTCCACTAAATACGAATATTTCTCAATAACAAAACTGTAAGACGTTACTTGATGAATCGTCATGGAAATTAACAAATAAGTGTTATGAATTTAATAAAGATAAAAATGCTGTATGCCAATTTGTTATGATTTTATGTCCGACTTTTTATCACGTGAATTATACACCAATCGGAATACGACTTGTCTAGTCTTAACGCTGTGTCTAATCAATGACGTCCTACCAGTATGAGCAGTTTAGCGATTTTATTTATCCTTTGTCCGCCTAGCCCTTCCAATTGCAGCTTCTGCTATGCGGATCGTTTGTTTCAAGGATACTCGGTTTATATACCTGACAGACAAACCGCATCACACCATAAGATAGAAAATAATGTTTGTGCAAAATCAAGCCAAATGTGGCTGTGAACGTTGGAGACATTAATCAATAAACTGAATATAATTCACGGACTTTAAATCGTATAATAATAATTCATAGGTCAGAATGAAGCTTATAATAAGATGAATATAGATATGCACAATTTAATTACCCAATAGTTAAACAATAAGAATATATATAGAATAATAGTCCACTAATAGGTCTTGGGAGATACCCGTACTTATGTCTTCGCTAGGATTTAACAATAAGTTAAGCATGTCATCAAAATGTCATTATTAGAGCGGGTTGTATAACACGACAAATTCAAAATCGAAATTCCGAGAATTTTTAAGTTCGAAACCTCTTAGTTAATCATTGGACTTCCGTAAGAGGGATATTCTACATCTAAACTTTATATGCGATACTCCATCAAAAGAAAGTCTGCTTCAGCGCTGAGGTTGTTTTCCAGTTTGCCTACGTTTATTGATAACCTGGAAGGACAATATCTATCTATAATCAATCTGTTTTTTGTCCTCCACTGCATGATTCACTCAAACGATACCTACATTCACCTAATAAGAAACGGGGTCTCACTCCGCTTCCAACCCTATTTCGTGCTTACTCCGACCCTTCAACTGAATATGCCTTTGTCAATCTATATATATTGGTTCTATGACTAAATAATATGGATTGCCATCTGACTAAAGTAGGACTTGAAAAATAGAAATTGTCACAGGTATCCAGATTTATCTTTGCTGTACACATAAACTTTTGCTTAGTGTGCACAAAGTGACCCCTTACAGCAGTAGATATCACCAGTTACATTATCCAATCCCGTTTTATGATTATTCATCTTCAAGTAGTTTTTATGACAATTAATTTGACAAGTTTCACAAAAATTCTGTTCACCCTTATAGTGGATGTAACTTCTTGCATCTTCGCTACTGTGTCCCACAAATTATTGTCAGTAAGCGGGGCTTATGCCGAAATTCTAGTTCAATTGTGGCACTGTTTGACAAACGTATTTAGAGTTGAGTCGCTTCTTGATTCAGTAATCCCAGATATCATACCACCAACTTTTCACTTTAATAATTACGAGTCATTCTATTCATCAGACCCCCGCGACTTTTAGAACGACTTAAACTTACCATACTCAACCACATTTCCGGTCGACTACCACTGCCAAAAAAATTTATTTACCTTCAAGAGGTATGCAGATTTGTTTTCAAATCTTTCGAGTGGTATAGACTGAATGTTTATTGTATAGTAAACGGATTGTAAATACAACAATAACTTAAGAAGCTCCTAAGGATAAGAAATTAAGGTTTCGGTTAACGAATATAGTTTTACTACTTGAAGTCATTTCAAATAATCCGATAACATTGTACGGAAGTAAAGCTAATATTTGCTGGAAAATGTATGTACTAAGCTCTATGGATCTTTAATTAAGTGCATATTGAAAATAATTGTAACCGAAGGAAAACAGTCAGAACTGACCAAGTACCTAAAGCCAGTATGTAATTAACTGATTGTAAACCATGGAAAACGTACTAGTTCCGATGTCCTGTTTTAGAGCGTGAGGCAACAGAGTCATTTGAAATTGTAGCTGAGAAACGAGTGGACGAAAGGTACTTGCATTTCAGCGTTCAATAGGAAGATTGGTAACGTGACAGTGATATGCTCGACTGCATATAGTCCTTTCAGTACTATTAAACCAATAGAGCTACTAGACATATTTATGTTCATTATGCATTTGGTACATTTGCACTGTTTCCTATGCACTATTAACAATTATCGAGTCAGCAAAATGAACACTAGATAGCGTTTCAGTTGAGCATAATAAGAATTACGCGTTATGAGTAAATAGGAATTCGGAGAAATGAATTGTTAGGTTAACTAGTAGTGCTAGTTCACATGAATGAGTAAAATAGGTATCAGTTTAAACTAGGGTTCCACGATAACTCCGAGAAAGAAAAGAGACAGAAACACACAGAGAAGTTATAAACGTAATATTCATTTCAACTGAAATGTTAGTAGCATTAAAAGAACAAGTTATAACCACCGACTGCGCTTAAACCAATGGACTCCGCTAGTTGATTGCACAGCTGACTGTTTCATGAGCAAAAGTCTGTCAGTTATCAAAATTTCAATACAGCATATTTAGCTTGGTTAACAATCAAGAAGAAATAACTACGAAGGGGTAGAAACCTATTGGGATGAGTAAAAACGACTTAGAGCTTTATCGGTTTTAGGTAGAACAATGCATTGGATTTATCAGAAGTGATCCACTATATACGATACAGATATAACAGTATGTACATACTTCTCAAGTTATTACTATTCGACGATAAACTGAGATTTACATTTAAACACACATGAGCACATCGATATTTATTTAATATACAAGTTGCTTGTACCTGGCTTGAGAGCAAAAATGATGTGATTAATCTAATGATTATGGCAGAAGAATTGGCTAACAATTTTAATGAATTAACTGTTCAATCCTAAGATTAATTTACTGCGAGAAGACATAAAAAACAAATTCGAATTAAAATGGATTTATTAAGCAAACCATGGGATGTATTACAGAACAGAGGATAGTTTTGGTAAGCTGTTTGACTAAATACATTAAGTCTTTCAAGTTACCCGTTTGAACAGAAGTAAATAAAAAAACTTTAGAAGTATTATTTGGGTTCCAAAAATATTTACAGATGTCTGAATTAAATTAAATACAATAAATAATCTACAAAATAAAATGTTTCAATACGGCATAAATAAATTACAAAGCACTTAGACGAGGGATTTTATTCGGAGGACACTCAACATCATCTTTCCTCGTCTGAGAGGAAATGTACTGTTCCCTTTTGCTATTAAGACTTAAATCATAAAACATATGCCGACCTCCATTAATGATCCAAGACCGATTACAGCTGGAGGTACAAACATAAGTAATTCGGGATTCAGAACTTCGAGAATGAGGAACGAACTGAGTAAAACTATCCTTCTTGTATATAGGCAAGTTTCTCAAACTTTCAGCCATTCCCAAAACATTACATATCCTGAACCTTGAAAAATGAAGAAAATGGTAGATTGGTTAATGTACAAATCCTCACTATGAAACAGGCTAAATAAGGACCTAACTCAATTCATCAGTTCCATAAAAACCAACTCATGTTTTCTTCAAGTCTAAAATCAGACCTTTAGGTAACCTAACCACGGAACTAATCAAATAATTTATAATACGTACAAACCATCTTGCGTCAAATATAAAACTATTTATAAGTGCTCAAACGAGAATGAAGTTCTACATAAAAAGTCCACACAGATGCAATAAGAATGACGTCCAGGCTCGTGAATAAGATTTGTCCAGTCCGTTAAGAACTGAGTTTGTGATAAACGCAGCGTAAAAATGTACGGAGTTATAGTTGTGCTACATGTCATCTTTCACAACTTCTAACTTGATGGCTACTGTTTCAGCGCAAATCTGCATTTACTAGAATATTGGAAGGTCAGATGAGTGATACCTTTAGCTCGTAAGTCTGCAGGCAATAAACTTCGGTCTATGTGCTTCTGCTGATACTAGGTTTATAACCTACGGTACAAAGAGAAACACTATACCTGTGATTTTTACTAAGCAACAGATCTCATAGGTTTTATGAAAATTACACCAAGAATTGATATCAATTCATTCTACAGGAGTAATTCCATCTCAAACAATTCGAGAAATATTCAGTTACCACTAACCTGGTTTATACATGAGTGAGTTGGTCAAATATCCACTCCAAGTCGAGTGTCTGGGTGTAGACAAACCGACACTCAATACTAAAACTTCATTTGCCTTTTCTGGTCAACACATTTTATGGTAATTGCTGCCATCTAAATGACCCCAAATGCTCTGGTACGGCCGAGAGTGGGGAGAGTACGCTCTCCCTCTCGAAATGCTCTCATACGGCCACATGTATGTAGCCTCTGTCAGGGAAGTCCTAATCACGGCCTTCTCACAGTGGCATTACTGTTGTTTACGAAAGTGAGGGGACGATAAGCGAATGTTCGGCGATTTAACCGGGTTGGTGGACACGGAAAGTCCACGTAGGGAAGTTGGAAAACCCTGATTCTAAACCAATGGTGCACATGAGCTCCAATATCCTGAGGGAACAAATGGCGTATGAATCAATCGTTGGTCACCGGCTACCATGGGACTGCATCTCCTCACGATGCTCCACTGCCTTGTGGATCGGATCTCTAGGTCAATGGCTTCGGGTGTGGCCCCCTGAGAAAACCACCTGCTTCGGTTTGGGCACCTGGGCAGTATCACAGCCCTCACACAAATCAAATAAGATATGTGTGGCGCATATGTATTTGGTGTCCGTTTGTACCAATATTTGTGTTTAAATAAATAAAATAAATAAACCCAGCTGTATAACCGATAGTTCTAGGAAAAACAGGCATATTGACTTTCTATTAGTTGTTTTTCTTCAACTCTCATCCTTATTCGTCTTTTCCGATCACATAGCTTTTTAGGGAGGAACTGAGCTTTAAAAAGATTACCCCGAAGTGTAATCTGTTGAACTACAACATACATGTACAGATTCCATTTACTTTGTCCAGCAAAAGCATTGGGTGGCAAGTAGAAACTGAAAGGCGAGAATACAAAACAACAGTATAACTTTCAGTGTTCCACAGTAAATGAAATCTGCTCATACATTAGACAGATATCTAGTTTCAGTT